AATATTTGTTTAATATTTACTACTGTGATAGCAAAGAGTCATAGCTATGATTTCAGTTGACACTTTTGATTGATAATCGATTTTGACCATTTTGGCATAATTTTCACAACTACTACAATATTTTTTTTCTCCCTTCCTATTTATGCTACGATGCTGAAACTTGGACCAGATGAAACACTTTTCATATAGAACTTGTCAAAAAAGTTTGATTGAAATCGAACGAGTTTTCATTTGTTGCATTTTTAGGGCAAATTGGAATCTGAGGCCCCCTTAAGGGGCACTCTGGTATATCGTGTTTAGAGACAGTGACTTACTCTAGACTATGCTTAACACTGTCCCCTGATTATACGAGCTGTGTGTACGAGTTGGTAACACCGACCAGGATACGAACCCAGGCCAAAGCGCTCGCGAAGCGCCGGGCGGGTTTCTTACCACTTGGCCACGCGGACTGCAGTTTCATGGCAGCGCAGCAATTAATCTTTAACAGTTTATATAGGTTTTTTTAAAGTAAATTTGTTTGATAAGTTATCGACAAAAAGAATATTAAAAAGCAAGTTAATATATGGGTTTTGAAGAGAATTTCACAAATGCTTTAATCCTCCACCTAGAAACATAGGAAGGCTCGACCACTTATTTATTATTAACATCATTATTGACAATTTAATTAAAATTTGCCTAATCTGAGGATTCCTGAAATCACTCGACCACTGGGTATATCACGCCACGAGAAAACCACATAAAACCAATTTACTTAAACGGCTGTCATTCACTAAACTACTTGAGAGTATTGAGCCGATCGAAGGAAGCAGTTGAAACAGTATTGTCACTAGGAGCATCCTGGAGATGTTTGTAATCAGATGCCTTACAAACCTCTCGTCTCTGGCAACGGGAAATAACGGCCACACTGGGTTTGGGGGAAGATTTGCTAAGGTACAACGAAGTTGGATGTATAATTAATGTTCTCGAACTTCTTAATTTATTTGATTAATGATCAGGGTTCGTAAAAAGGTAATCCAACGCAAGTAGATAATGGAGGTGAACTCTGTTGTCTACATTCTGCATTCAGGTTGGATTGGATATCAGAGTAAAAAAAAAAAATAATGAAAAACCTCAATGATGTTTGAGTTTGAGCATGTAACCAGTTTATTAATTATGTCTCCCTGTCCTCGCGGAACACAAGTGTATGTGACAAGTCATCGACAGACTTACGTAGACTTCATGGTCTCACCTGTTGTAGATCAACAGGAAAGTCGCCAAGTCATGAAGAAAAGTATATCATAGTCTCGGCACAGCTTGCTGCTTAGCACAATGACCTGCCACTGTGCATACACACTAACAATGAGAGGCGTCTATATGGGGTCACGATGCCACTGGAGAAGAAAGCTAAACAGGTACAGTGGTATTACACATGCGCATCCAGATTGACTGTCCGGAGATGGCACTGCCACCTTCAAGGAGGCACTGATTATGATAGACCTCCCACACTGATACAGCTTCATCCCAGTAGCCTTAAAAACACCCTTACCTCCTGTACCTAATGCGTACCTAAGTTCCTGAATATGTTGGTCATTAAACAAGTCACGGAACCAAAAACGTCAGAGCGGCTAGTTTTCTGTTCCGGCGCTTGAGTTTGATCCAGAGTGGATGTGACTACCGCATTCTTGCAGCCATCTAGATATATTTTATCTGCAATTTGCATTTGTTGTAACATTTGCAAATCAGCTCAACCTGCTAAACCATTTGATTATTACATCAAATAGGTTGGCGGAAGAAAATATGTGATTTCAGGATTTTTTTTTTTTTAAGAATGTGTTATTTAGTTCTACCAGGCTATGGGTCTTCATAGTAGCAGAGATGGTATCCCCCTATACATATAATATTTATATAAATCTCTGGAACCTCTGAGGAAGAGTTGACGTGTCCAGTTGATTGACCTATGACGAACAGTGAGAAGATAATTGTGGTGTTAATGCAACTTGTAGAGAAGTTCGATGCTAGGCACAGACTTTAGTCATAGAGTTTTGAGATGCATTATTCATGAGTAGGTTTTTGGACAGCCGTAGATCTGCGTGCGGGTGGAGTGTGTCCCGCGTGTACTCCACTATTTGTGCCTTAAGAATGGATAACTGGCTTTGGATCCCGCCTTTCTAGCCGCCGGTTGTTTAAAGTAACGATTCTTGTCCTTGGTGTGTGCTTGTGTGTGCCACGGGTTGAGCGTGTGCGTGCATGTGCTAGGTCAGGTGTGGTGTTCAGGATGGGTAGCTTGATGTGCGGGTGGTGTGATGGGTTAGGTAAGATGCAAGACGGGTATTATTCTGAGTAGGTGGCGTGCAGGTGAGAGTAACGACCAAGACATGGCACCAAGTTCAAGTATCCAGACAAGAAAAGAAATACATCTTAAAAGGATAGAGTAGCTTAGGCTATTTATAACCCCCCCCCCCCCAACCCCTATGGACACGGCACCACCTACCCACACCTGCCAGGCTGTGGGGGTCACGAAAGCCACACTGCCGTTCTCTACATGTACTATACAGCCATTCTGGTCATGCTCTTTATCTTAGTAATCAATTGGGTCCAACGATTTATATCCTATTGACTAGCACTGGCCACATGAGGAACACCATGTGTAAACAACGCTATAAAATAGCCCATAAGGAAAACTTGGACTATCAAGAATGCTTTATAGTGTATCATTTGCAAATTCTAACACACTTTAACAGTATTAACAGTGGTAAGATGAGGTGGTGTTTACACACTGGGAGACAAGATTGGTGGGTAACATTAGAGGGAGACACCGGCGGGTGGTGTCTGGTCCCCTGACGTGACCATACTTAGGTATACCTGCCACGCTCCTCCACACACCGCCCAGCTCGTACTAAACCAGTCGCTTGATAACTGTTAGGAAGAAATTACGTCCTGGTGAGACGGAGAGTCTTAAGTGCCTCTCCCTAGAAAATTCTTATCACGAGGCGCTCGTGGAGATGACAGGCAGCTCGCACTTCACATTTTACAGCGACGTAAATCATAGGTTTGTCAACTGGAGTTGGAGAAGTTGCTCCTCTGCGCAATCACGGTGCTCTAAATCTCCTCCCTTTTTTACCTTAGTCATATGCAAGTGTGCAACAAAAATTTTTAATAGAGAAACTTTTCAGGCGACATAAATAATTGTGTTCATTCGGCTGATGAAAATTGCGATGTGTTGTTGGATGAGCAATTACCTAAATTACTGCTTTTACTTGTCTTTCTGAAAGTTTTATTAAGTGTCGCTGGTGGAGGAAACGTGGTCCTTGTGCGTCATTAAGACGATTGCTCAGGTCTTCCTTCACACGAGAGGCGTGCGTGTGGTAGAGGGCGTGCGTGTGGTAGAGGGGCGTGCTTGTGGTGGTAGAGGGGCGTGCTTGTGGTAGAGGGGCGTGCTTGTGGTGGTAGAGGGGCGTGCTTGTGGTGGTAGAGGGGCGTGCTTGTGGTGGTAGAGGGGCGTGCTTGTGGTGGTAGAGGGGCGTGCTTGTGGTGGTAGAGGGGCGTGCTTGTGGTGGTAGAGGGGCGTGCTTGTGGTGGTAGAGGGGCGTGCTTGTGGTGGTAGAGGGGCGTGTTTGTGGTGGTAGAGGGGCGTGCTTGTGGTGGTAGAGGGGCGTGCTTGTGGTGGTAGAGGGGCGTGCTTGTGGTGGTAGAGGGGCGTGCTTGTGGTGGTAGAGGGGCGTGCTTGTGGTGGTAGAGGGGCGTGCTTGTGGTAGAGGGCGTGCTTGTGGTAGAGGGCGTGCTTGTGGTAGAGGGGCGTGCTTGTGGTAGAGGGCGTGCTTGTGGTAGTGGGCGTGCTTGTGGTAGTGGGCGTGCTTGTGGTAGAGGGGCGTGCTTGTGGTAGAGGGGCGTGCTTGTGGTAGTGGGCGTGCTTGTGGTAGAGGGCGTGCTTGTGGTAGTGGGCGTGCTTGTGGTAGTGGGCGTGCTTGTGGTAGAGGGCGTGCTTGTGGTAGAGGGGCGTGCTTGTGGTAGAGGGGCGTGCTTGTGGTAGAGGGGCGTGCTTGTGGTAGAGGGGCGTGCTTGTGGTAGAGGGGCGTGCTTGTGGTAGAGGACATCTACTCTCGCCTCCCCAGGAGACAGTAGATGTGTACAGCTTTTGTATAAAGTCGTTGTACCTCTTTTTGATTGACGTTAATGATGACCAGACCACACGCTAGAAGATGAAGGGACGACGACGTTTCGGTCCGTCCTGGACCATTCTCAAGTTGATTGTGAACTATTGTGAAAGATTAGAACGGCAATCTTTGTACTGTGGTGAACAGAGTTACAAAAACTGGCGTGTAAGCCGGAGGATGGGCTGGGATATACAGGTGACATACAGGGGGAAAGAAACAACATCTGGCGAATTCTTATTCAAAATATAACGTATTCTTTCTAACCTTATAACTTAAGTCAGAAGCTGTAGCGCTGCACAGCAGGTTGACGAGGAAGGGCATGGCTACACGCCAGCAACAGTGTGCTCCTATGGACAAGCCGCCGGCTTCCTGTCCACGTGAGGCCACTAGAGAGGGGTAGTGTCTACACGAGAATGATAGAAATACTGGTTAATGAAAAGGGATTTATTGATTAGCAAAGCGGTACTCTGAAGTAAAACTTGTTACCTTTTAAACCCAATATGACGCGTCTAAAATATTAGGTAGAGAGCTGCAGTACTGGCCAGCTCATCCCACCGTGCTACTATGCACTACGGGCTCACCATAGCCCGTGCTACTTGGAACTTTTTGTTGCAGATAGCGAATCTTAAACATCATCATCATACCGTGCAACTTGTGAGGGGTGACTATGAAGCCTCGACACCAGTGTACAGTATAGCGAGGAGTCTTCCTCTTGGGCACTGTGATGGAGCACGTATCTTTGGGGTTAGCTCAGCCACTCACACCACATAATATCCAGCTGTCACCCTCTTCTCCTGCTGTGTATCCACCAACACTCTTCCTTATCGTGTTATCTTCATTTTGGAGCGGGTATTTTAAAAGTCATAATGATACAATGAAAATCGATATTTATTTACTGGCACAATTAAGTATTTGTGGCGTATTAACATATTTCGGTGCAGTTGAAATCAAGGGACCACCTCTGACCCGTCGTCTGTCAACACTCAGTCACGTCCTATATACAGAAAGAATTTGAAGACCTTTGTTGTGTGTGGGGCCAGATGGCAGTGCAAGTTATGTACATCAAAACCATTTATATATAAAATACCTAGTAACCACCTCACTACTAACAAGTTTAAAAAGAAGAAATCTAGAAAAAAATATTTTTTTGTGTGTAAAAGAGTGAGTGCAAGTGTGTGTGTGTGTGTGTGTTAGTGTGCTAAAGACTGATTGTAAGTGTGCAAAAGAGTGAGTGTAAAAGTGTGTGTGTGTGTGTGTGTGTGTGTGTAAGAGTGTATGTGCTAGCAAGCTGAGCGTATTTACAAGGGTATACGGTATAGTTTTGTGTTCTGGCCTGACTTGCATTGAAGCATCTGTAAATGAGCTCTAGTACATAATGTATGATAAAGAATGTATTTGCGTTTATACATGGACACGCGTGTGTGTGTTTACCCGCCACCTTCCTTTCACTTGAGCTTAGGATCACGTGTAATGTCGACCGAAGCAGCTATTGCCAGTCTTGTTCGTAGAAGTTATTCTTCTCAGCGCCCCTCAGACCAAACATGACCCTAGATGTGAAGGTTGCTTTAGACTTTGGTGACGGGGATCTTGGTGAGGGAGGCCGGGGTGTGGTACATGTATTCCTCCGCCATGACGTGTCTGCTGGGGGGAGGACGTCCCTGTGGAGGCCATGGAGCTAGGGGATCAGGAGGCCACCCGCCGCCCAGTTTAACTCTCTGTTGTCGCCGCCAGTACCTGGGAGCGTCAAAGAGTTCTGTTAGTACCCTGACAACGCTTACGCTAACTTAGGGAAGAGGTGGATGACGTATGCGAGGATTAAGGGAGATGAGAAGATGAAATTGTGATGCCGCTCTGGTTTCAGGAATAATATGGGAATTTTAATTGAAAGAGTAATATTTGCACACATATCGAAGGAGAAAATGGCAAAGGAATCGCCATGATCGGTTCCTTGATGCGTTGTGTCTTACAAAGATTGTGTGATGGTGAGGCCGAGCCACGGGTCAACACGAGAGACGTGATGGTGTGGGGAAAGCATCGGATCAAAAACCTTATCCCGGCTTACTGCTTGCACTGCTTCAACACACGCCTGCGCACCACACCCTCATACAATGTCTAACTTGTTTCCAGGAGTAGTCATGTGTTTCTGCACTTTTAAGAATTGTATGTATATGTGAATTAGATAGAGGTACCCGGCGGTGCCCGGGTTGACCTTGTGCATAGATCTGTCTAATAGGTCTTCCCCGACAACACTCACCTACCCCACCTCCCCTCCTCCCCATCAACAATGTAACCATATTCGCAACACTGTCATCACCACCCTATGACACTCGCCATACCATCACCAATCATCCTGCAAAGTTTGGTGAGGCTAGCCCGATGCGTCTGGTTCCCAACCTCGAAGAGACATTCTCTCTTTATGAATTGTGTAAATTTGCATTAGTGACTCGTCTAAGTGTGCTTGCAGGATTAACTTCAGCTCCTGAGCCACTTCACCTGAACTGTCGGTCCTTTAATTTTAATACATCGACTTTCGATTCTGTACTTTGTTTTATCTTCTTTTGAAAGTGAGGTGCTGGTTTCAACAATCTCTCCTTCTTGTGTTACCTACGTTTCTTACTCGTACACAAAGGGAGCGTCTCCCGACATATATGACTTGTATCTGGCTTCCGTCCGTTCTTGTCGTTATATTGTCGCTTTCCGTGCACTTCATATTTTTCCAGTAATTCCCTTGGTATATTTTAGGTCTCAGTCGTGTCAACCTTTCTCCTTTGTCTTGTCTAACACGGCCAAGTCCGGTCTTCTGTCACGCTTCGTCGTTTATACAACTTGATTCTTGGATCAACTGCGTATCAAAGTAATAATATTTTATACTTTATCTTCGTCCTTCTTTAAGTTTGGGGCTCGACGCCGGCGCTGCATAGTCAAGTTCTAGTCTCCTGTAGGTAGCAGTGTTCTGAATGCGGTATGTGTACATACATATATACGACTTCGACTTTGACACTGTTGCTGTGACACAAAGCGATTTTGTAATTTTGACCTACTTATGTTACCAGATAAGACGATGTACACACACACACACACACACACACACACACACACACACACACACACACACACACACACACACACACACACACACTCATTCCTGAGCCTTAGTAGGCTCAGGAATCTGTACACCAGTTGATTGACAGTTGAGAGGCGGGACCAAAGAGCCAAAGCTCAACCCCCGCAAGCACAAATAGGTGAGTACACACACAGCCAGTGGCTGTGTGGATAGCACGCTGGTCACGTAATCCTGTGGCCCGGGTTCGATTCCCGGCTCCGGCGAAAAACAATGGGCAGAGTTTCTTTCACCCTGATGCACCTGTTACCTAGCACTTAATAGGTACCTGGGAGTTAGACAGCTGTTACGAGCTGCTTCCTGTGTGTGTGTGATAAAAAGAAATAGTAGTAACAGTTGATTGGCAGTTGAGAGGCGGGCCGAAAGAGCAGAGCTCAACCCCCACAAGCACAATTAGGTGAAAACAACTAGGTGAATACACACAGACGATGAGAGGAAACGATGAACCAGCGAGACTGGGCCTAGTCTTCACTCTGAACGACTCTGACATAAGGGAAATCGGTTTCGAGGCCCTGGTAGGAATGAGCGACCACAGTGTGCTGACATATGAGTATCTGGTCGAAGAAGGGGTAATGAACTCGAGGAGGGGAACTGATAACAAAAGGCGGGCATTCACAAAGGGGAACTATGAGGAGATAAGAAAATTCCTAACAGATATAACATAGGAAATAGAGCTCAGGGAAAAGACGACCCCAAGTCATGATGGACATCATCACGATGAAGTGTAAGGAGGCAGCAGACAAGTTTGTTCCGGTCCAAATGGAAAACAACGAAATGCAGATGAGAAACCCATGGTTTAACCAGAGATGTAGGCTAGCTAAGCAGCAACGTAAAAGGGCGTGGAGAAACTATAGGAATAACAGGACACTTGAGAGCCGAGAAAGATACCAGAGTGCCAGGAATGAATATGTCAGGTTGAGAAGAGAGGCAGAAAGGTAATAAGAAAATGACATTGCAAGCAAGGCAAAGACTCAACCTTAATTGCTGCACAGCCACATCAAGAGAAAACATCAGTAAAGGAACAGGAAATGAAATTGAGGATAGAGGCAGACAGATTCACTACAAACGACAAGGAAATGTGCTAGGAATTAAATAAGAAATTCCAGGAAGTCTTCACATTAGAGCAAGGTGAAGTTCCAGAGATAAGAGAGGGAATAGTTAACCAGGAACCACTAGAAGAGTGAGATTACCAGTGGGGATGTAAAGAAGCTTTTGCTAGAGTTGGATGTGACAAAGGCAATAGGCCCAGATGGAATCTTCCTTTGAATACTAAAAAAGCAGAAGCCCTGTGCCTGCCACTCTCCATATTGTATAACAAATCACTGGTAACGGGAACTGCCAAAAATTTGGAAGATGGCTAATGTAGTTTCGATATACAAGAAGGGGGATAGACAGGAGGCACTGAACTAGAGGCCAGTGTCCCTAACTTGCATACCATACAAGCTGATGGAGAAGATTGTGCGAAAAAAGCTAGTGGAACATCTGGACCGAAAGAACTTTGTAACACAGCATCAAAATGGATTCAGGGATGTCAAGTCCTGCCTCACAGGATTAATTGACTTCTAATTGACTTCTACGACTAGGCAACAAAAATCAGGCAAGAAAGATAAGGGTGGACAGACTGCATATTTTTGGATTGCCAGAAAGCCTTTGACTCAGTACCACACTAGAGGCTAGTGCAAAAGCTGGAGATGCAGGCTGGAGTGAAAGGGAAGGTACTCCATTGGATAAGGGAGTACCTAAGCAACAGAAGGCAGCGAGTCACTGTGAGGGGTGAGGTCTCAGATTGGCGAAGCGTCACCAGTGGGGTCCCGCAGGGTTCAGTCCTTGGACCTATACTGTTTCTGATATATGTAAATGATCTCCCAGAGGGTATAGAATCGATCCTCTCATTGTTTGCTGATGATGCAAAAATTATGAGGAAGATTAAAACAGAGGAAGATGGTAGGAGGCTACAAGATGACCTAGACACAGTATGAATGGTCCAACAAATGGCTACTAAAGTTCAACCCGATTAAATGTAAGGTAATGAAACTAGGCGGTGGAAACAGGCTAGACACAGGATACAGATTAGGAGATGAAGTCCTTCATGAAACGGACAGAGAGAAAGATCTAGATCTAGAAAGAGTTGATATCACACCAAACCTGTCTCCTGAAGTCCACATAAAAAGAATTACATCTGCGGCATACGCGAGGCTGGCTAACATCAGAACAGCCTTCAGGAACCTGTGTAAGGAATCATTCAGAATCTTGTATACCACATATGTAAGACCAATCCTGGAGTATGCAGCCCCAGCATGGAGCCCGTACCTTGTCAAGCACGAGATAGAGCTGGAGAAAGTTCAGAGGTATGCCACTAGGCTAGTCCTAGAACAGAGGCATGAGTTACGAGGAAAGGCTGCGTGAAATGCACCTCACGACACTGAAAGACAGAAGAGTAAGGGGAGACATGATCACTGCCTACAAAATTCTCAGAGGAATTGACAGGGTAGATAAGGATAAACTGTTTAACACAGTGGTACGCAATCAAGGGGACACAGGTGGACCCAAATGAAGCACAGGGACGTTAGAAGGAACTTTTTCAGTGTCAGAGTAGTTAACAGGTGGAATGCATTAGACAGTGATGTGGTGGAGGCTGACTCCATACAGTTTCAAATGTAGAGATGATAGAGCTCAGTAGGCTCATGAATCTGTACACCAGTTGATTGGCGGTTGAGAGGTGGGACCAAAGAGCCAGAGCTCAACCAGAGCAAGCACAACTAAGTGGATACACCCACAACTTTTAAGACCAGATTCGGTAAAGAATTCGACCGTTAGAACAGGTAGATTAAAATGCAACAGGTACAAGAAGGGCAGCAGGCGGAGCACCAGGAGCTAGACCCAAACTCCCCGTAGTCACTGATAGGTAAGTTGATCTAATAACAGAAGAGTTGGGTGTGCTTATTTTTCCTGTTCCTCGGTCACAATTGGAAATATAAGAACAAGTTTTTTCATGGAAGTCTATCTACAATAATTAAATTGTACCGGATGATTGCTTTTCTCTGGAGGAGCGCGATGTGTAACAATCTCGGAGGTGGAGAATTGATTTGTGGCTGGGGGGGGGGGACTTTCCTGGTTGTTGGGTGAGCTGGTCGAGGAGGTCGACCAGGTCGACCAGCCACACAACACTTTGCTTGGCACTTGTGTTTATTGTGTTTTATGAACATTCTTGGGTACATAATCATTTCTGCAGTTAGCCCAGACTATATGAAGGGTTACATGGTTTGTGACACTAAAACTCCTATCTGGCGGGGTTAGTAGACACACTAACCCCGCCAAATGCTTCTTGTATACAATAGCTACAACTGGAAGGGGGATACAAGGGGCTATATCACCCCGCATTTTTGGAGGGTGATATAGCCTAGGGTATGAGGGAGAGTGCAGGCGCGCGCAGTGCGTTATGGAGAGGGGGGGGGGGGGAGAGATGTGTCCACTCCTCTGGGGAACGTAGAGGAAAATACTGACTTTACGATGCGGGGGCGAGTGTTGTCCGCGAGGTAATGACACCTTGGGGCGCTTAGTTATGACAAGCCTCTGGTTTTATGCTGACATTCTTCCTCTCATGTCTTCCTTATGATTCTCGCTTAGGGCGCTCTCACTCCACCCTTGCTCATTATTTATATATATATATATATATATATATATATATATATATATATATATATATATATATATATATATATATATATATATATATAATATAATATTTCATCAAAATATTCTACACAAATTTCAAATGCCTCACTTTCTTCTCCAAGGCTATGGGTCTTCATCATATTTCCACAGGTAGTGTAGCTTAGTATATCTTGTGCGTGTATGCGTGAGCGCGCGCGTGTGTTGTACTCACCTATGTGTCTTCAGGGTCATGTAAAGTGACCGAGCTCCGTCTTCTCATCATTATTTTATCAATCCAATAAATCTGTTTTCACTTTTCATATTTAGATTTAAATTTGTGTTTTGAGTTAGCTTTCCTCACTCATCCGTGTAACGCATATTGCTTATTGACGATTATAACATTGAAGAACTTCTCTGATGTCTTTGTGACTCATTAGTCTAGCTTCCATCTTTGACTCGAGCTATAAACATTGATTCTTTCTCTTAGTCAATTCCCTTGAGAATCGTGTATGCCATTATCATGTCTCTTCCAATGTCGTGCGGTCCAGTTGGCTCAGTCTTTCCCCAGAGCTCAAACCCCTCGGCTCAAGACCTAGCCTGGATGCAGATCTTTGGACCTGTTTTTAGTTTTGTTTTGTATTTTTTCACGTGGGGCGGGGAGGGGGTGGTTCCTTTATCTAAGCTGCATATTTGAGTTCGTCTCACATAGGTTGTATATATGAGCCGGAATCCTCTTTTGGTTCGAATTCCCATATAGTAGGAGAGCATACGTAATTCCGTAGCAGAATTAGTGATGACATATTGGCGGATGGATTTATTCAATTATTCAGTCATATTTATTCACCTGTAAATGAATTATATCGTTGGTGGCACTTCAGATTCTGTTGCGTATAATCATGATGACGTCATAAAGATGGCGCCCATCAATAATTTTTAACATTTTATTATATTCGTTAAATTTGTCAATGGACCCCATTACTCCCAGGATGTATATGGGGATAAACTACCCCACTACAGGATCACAGGATGGATATTGGGGATAAACTACCACTCACAGGTTGTGTATTTGGTCTTCTACACTCACAGGATGGGCATGGGGTTCTCTACCACTCACAGGATGGGCATGGGGTCCTCTACCACTCACAGGATGGGCATGGGGTCCTCTACCACTCACAGGATGGGCATGGGGTCCTCTACCACTCACAGGATGGGTATTTGGCAAATAATAAAGTAGAACGAATTAATAGCATCCTTATCCAAACTTATCCGTTTAAGCCTTGGCATAACCTCTCTACCCCAGTATCCCCATTCCAACCTACATATCCTACAACATTGCCATACCAGCCTCCCGCTCCCCATCCCCCTCCTAATCGGCGGAGGAGAGGCAACTTACCTGCACAGGAGGAGAGAGAGCGTGAGGATGAGAACGGTGGAGGCCGTGACGACGACGATGCCCAGTACCACCTGCACCCTCTCGCCACACAGGTGCTCGCTCGGCACCAACCTGCAGAGAGAGAGAGAGAGGTCACACACGACGCGTCAGGAACACGTCGATTTAGGATCGGGTGCGCCCCCCCCCCCGGCTATCCTACGGTCATGAAAAATTAATGATTCCTGTGGTTAGGGATGTTGTTGTTGTTGTTGTTGTTGTTGAAGATTCAGCTACTGGGGGAACAAAAAGTCCCAAGTAGCACGGGCTATGGTGAGCCCGTTACCTGGCACAGCAGCGGGGCTGTGTAATTGGTTGGATGTCTGTGTTAGGGACAGGAAGCCTTCAGTTTATATTGAGGTCCCCCTAGGACAGAGGTGGCGAATCTATGGCACGCTTGCCCAGAGTGGCATGTGAGCAAATTTACCTGGCATTTACTTGATTTACCCGGGGGCGACTCACACTAGCGTACTTGACGAGGACAGGAAGCCGGCGGCCTGTCGAAAGTCATTATTTGTCTTGATGATTAGAAACTTTAAAATGTAAGAGTTTTGGCATTTATGGCTTCGGGTAGGCGGTTCCATGGATTTATAACCCTGTGGGTGAAAAAGCATCTCCTGTTCTCAGTCGTACATTGTGGCTTGTTGAGCTTGAAACCGTTGCTCCTTGTTTGTGTTACATCTGACCTTTTGAAGAAATTGTCCGGATTAACATCTTTTAAATTGTTCAGTATTTTAAGTTTTAATAAGTCCGCCTTGTCATGCTTGGTGTGCAGTGTTGTTAGCCCCGTGGCCCTCAACCGTTCCTGATACGGGAGTTGACTTAGCTCTGGAATGATTTTTGAAATCAAATCATGACAGCTGATGGTGCACCCAGCATGATGGGAAAAGTAGCTGGTTTTGTAAATGTGTTTGCAAATATGTTGGACAGCCATTGGCAGGCTCCCATTGCAATGTACACGAGGCGGCCTTGTGTGCAAAAGTTGGCTTTAAGGAACTTGAAGTGATGAAAATTGTTACCAAGATAAGTGTCTTTCTGAGCGTGCTTTGAAAAAGACAGTTACACAATTTACCGAGCGAGGTGAATTCGGTGTACACATTACTACTAATGTACAACAATGCTCGTTGGCTTAGTATAGCATATGTCCTCAAACGATTTGTTGAGTGTTTGAAATAGGTCTGTTTTGACGAATTACAAATTCCATTGTAAGAAGTATCAATGTTGCCTGGATCTGTAGATTTAAATTTTTTCTCGGGTTTCTCCACATATTTAAATGAGTTTAACACCATAAAAGCCTTTGAAATCAAACTTAATTTTGTTAAACGTGATGTCGACATTGGCACTCTTAAATATTTCGCAAACCTAAACAAAAATATAACATATCTTGAAATTCACGAGAAAACTGATATTCACAGCCTTCAAATTTAATTTTCCAGTATCATTGATTTAACTGCAGATCAATTTTATTTTAGGATTTATATACTAAATTCAGATCATTTGAAGAAACTCCAAAATTCATAAAACGTGCAGACAGTGTACCATTAGACAAACTCAAATTGAAAATGTTGCAGCGTTGATTTGAATAATTTTGAGATGCAGTTGATTGATTTACAAAGCATCTAAATTTGGAGGCAAAAATTTAGTAAACTGATTTAAATTTAGGCAAACTGAGTAATATTACTCAGGACACACGGAACAAAGTTGCTTATGTTGTCCAAGTGTTTAACGAGAGAACAAAAATTTGTCGACTTAAAGAGGTGAACAGAAATATTAAAAGATCAGTTAATGACCGAATTAACACAAAAGAATGCTTTCAGACATTCTTGAAGTGAACTGCAGCTCACCCTCGGTATGTCCCGGGTCATTATTCATGCTTATTTGTAATAGATTCATTTTGATGTGTTCATATCTATTCATTCTGATTTCGTCATTAAAAATTGTCTAAAAATTATTGGCGTACTTTCATGTAATATTTTCACCACCGTCTGAGATGTGTACAGATCTATCATTATTACTCAAGATGCAAAATAGCCTTCCCGGTTTGATACCTTATTTTGATCATTATTTACTTAATCATTACTTATAAGAATTGCCTTTAGTTTGTAATTTGTTTTTACTTTCACAAAATGACTGTAAAGGCGATCAGTGTGTACATAAGACCCTTACTGAGTACCATATTTCTGTGTTTGAAGTGAACAATTAAAATAATCCACAAAGAACTGAACATTAGGTATAAAGTTGAATTAGCTCTTAACCCTGGCGTTATGTAAGCCATTATGCCTCCCTTGTTGGCTGTGTGGTGGGTGGAAGTGCAGGGAAGTAAAGGCCTGGTATAACTCTTGTATTTACTCCTTCAGTTTTCCTCAGAGGCTCGTTTGGTGGGCGGCCAGGCTCACAAGTCTTTATTTCCTGGAAGACTCTCGGGGTATGCATGGCGGCTCTGCAAGGTTAATGCCTCTCAGCCCTCTTCGCAAAGGTCTATATTATATTTAGCTGAGGGAGCCAAGCAGAACAAAAAATAACACAGAATGGCAGAAAAGCTTCCTCTTTGAATCAACTAGACATTGGGTCTTATTGACCCAATGGCCCTGACCTTTTTAGGTTAGGGTCATTGGTTAACCTTATGACCCTTATTGACCCCAAGATTTGTGTGCAATTATACTAGGGGGGTTACACCTCCCTAGCCATTGAGGCCCACAACTTTCTGTACAACGACGCCTACGCCTCTATCTTCGCTATTACATACAAGAGTTTACATTCTTGTAAAGCCACTAGTACGCGTAGCGTTTCGGGCAGGTCCTTAACCCTAATTTCCCCGGAATACGACCCCGCCGAATCGTTTAACAACCAGGTACCCATTCACTGCTGGGTGAACAGAGGCTACAGTTAAGGATTGGCGCCCGGTCAATCCTCCCCGGCCAGGATTCGAACCCAAGGCAAGGCGCTTGCGAAACGCCAGGCGAGTATCTTACCACTGCGCCACGGAGACTGCAAATAGAACTATTTGCAGTCTAGGACTATTGAGTATTTGCAGTCTAGGACTATTGAGTATTTGCAGTCTAGGACTATTGAGTAGGATCAATAGTCATAGGACTATTGATCCTACTGCCTCTCACAACCGATTGTGTGATGTAACACTTGGTGATTTTATTACGTTAAATTATAAAGAGTTAAATTAAAATTAAATTGAGAGAGCACTGCATTATATGTTTTGGAAAAATGCGAGAGTAATTTTAACATTAATTAGTAATTACTGCCACCCTACAGTAATTGTTCCTTAGTTTAAGAACAAATAATATCTTGCCTGGAGAGGTAGAGCCCCCGAAGCTTGTCGGGGGCGGCACACTGGAGGTCTGGGGCAGCCAGGGAGGTGTTGGAGGACCCCAGTAGCTCAGCCAGCCACTGGAGGGAGCAGTTGCACACTAGAGGATTATCTCTCAAGTCCATCTTTTTTAAGGAACTCCATGGCACTTCTGCTTCCGGAAGAGACTGTAGACCATTGGCGCGGAGGTCGACGTTGCGCAGGTTGTGCAGGGAGGTGAGGAGGCCTTCTGGGAGGTGCCTCAGTAGAGGGTTGTGGGAGATGATTAGTGTCTTCAGGTCTCGGCATCCATCGAGAGCCAGAGGATGAACACTCTCCAAGTGAGGACTTCGTGATATCTCTAGTGTAGATAAACGTCCCAGGCCTTTAAAAGCCCTTGGACCAATACTTTTTATCTTATTTCTACTTAATGACAGAAAAGTTAGTGTTTGTAATGAAGACAGGGTCTTCGATGGCACCTCTTGAAGCGTGTTGCAATCAAGGTTTAGTTTTTGTAATTGTTGCAGGCGGTGGAAGGCTCTCTCGTCAAGGTAGTCGATGTTGTTTGTGTCCAAGGAGAGTGAAGCGAGTGTGTCGGTGGGGAAGGACAGGGAGTCGAGGCGCGTTAGGCGATTTCGACAGAGATAGAGAGTTTGCAGCGACGATAGGTCTTCGAGCGCCACCGCCGGGACGTGTCTGAAGTAATTGTCGCACAAGTCGAGGACCAGTAGCTTTTGCACTCCTCGAAATGTGCGCTGAGTGAGTACGTGAAGGCGGTTGTGCGCCAGATGAAGCACTGTGAGCTGCGTCAAGTTGTCAAGTACACCGACAGGCAGATCAGAGAGGTTGTTGTGGCTCAGGTCCAGGGTGGAGAGATCCGCCAACCCCATGAAGGCGCCGACGGCGAGGGAGGTGAGATTATTGTGCGCTAGTCTCAGTTCCTTCAAAGCTGATTGCGCCTTGAAGTTTCCAGTTCCCACAGAAATTAAAAGATTGTGCGAGAGATCGAGCTCTTCGAGCTTGTCGAGGAAAACGAAGGCCTCGTCGACGGAGCTGATGGAGTTTCGGGCTAGGTTGAGCCGACGCAAGCTCGGGTTGAAGAGGATGGGGACGACGTTGACGCCGACGCCAACACAGCGAGCACTGGGGGCGGCGTCATCACAGGTGCAGCCGGGGGGGCAGAAGGCCTGTGCCAGGTCCAGAAGGTATGCCCACGCCAGCCACCACGCCACCATACCTGCAACAACACGCATCTCTTGAAGCAACATTATCAAACTTGGACAACAGTTAATATTATTACTAGGAATTGGAATCAGTCATTTTTTTTAAAGAAATAATTTGAAAAACCTGTTTGATATTGGCGAATACACACAGGCTGCTGCGAGACTGACACCGGCACTCACTCGGGCCCGGGGACACCTGCACTCGCTTAGTGATACCACCACAAGTCACTCGCTTAGTGCCTTACAAGTACACGAGCTCATCAGTGAGACAACGTACAGCTCCTGATAAATACAAATGAACAAGAACAACATTTGCCTTTCAAAATGTATTGATTCCATTTGGTGACCATCATTGTGGGTGTAGAGACTAATGTCTGTGTGTGTGTGTGTGTGTGTGTGTGTGTGTGTGTGTGTGTGTGTGTGTGTGTGTGTGTGTGTGTGTGTGTTACTGTTGGAGGGTGCACCAGTTTGAGCAGGATAGGTTTAACATAAGAACATAAGAATGAAAGGTAGTTGCAGAAGGCCTATTGGCCCATACGAGGCAGTATTTGGAGCTGTAGTTGGTTTCTTTGAGCTGTAGTTGGTTTCTGTGGTTCTTCTACTCCCCAAGACCGGCACGTGGCGAAGTTTGTCTGATGTTCCTTGATCAGTCAGGCTGTTGCTTGTAGTAACTTGAAGAGCTACATAGCCATTAACTGATCTTTCATTTCAGTTAAGAGTCCGTGTTGCCCGCGAGGGGCCCCCCCCCCCCGTGTGTTGGCCGCGTGGGGCCCCCCCCCGTGTGTTGCCCGCGAGGGCCCCCCCCCCCGTGTGTTGGCCGCGAGGGCCCCCCCCCCCCGTGTGTTGGCCGCGTGGGGCCCCCCCCGTGTGTTGCCCGCGAGGGCCCCCCCCCCGTGTGTTGGCCGCGAGGGCCCCCCCCCCGTGTGTTGGCCGCGAGGGGGGGCCCCCCCGTGTGTTGGCCGCGTGGGGCCCCCCCCCGTGTGTTGGCCGCGAGGCCCCCCCCCGTGTGTTGGCCGCGAGGGCCCCCCCCCCCGTGTGTTGGCCGCGAGGGGGCCCCCCCCGTGTGTTGGCCGCGAGGGCCCCCCCCCGTGTGTTGGCCGCGCGGGCCCCCCCCGTGTGTTGGCCGCGAGGGGGGGCCCACCCGTGTGTTGGCTGCGAGGGGGGGCTCCCCCGTGTGTTGGCCGCGAGGGGGGGCCCCCCCGTGTGTTGGCTGCGAGGGGGGGCTCCCCCGTGTGTTGGCCGCGAGGGGGGCCCCCCCCGTGTGTTGGCCGCGAGGGGGCCCCCCCCCGTGTGTTGGCCGCGAGGGGGGCCCCCCCCGTGTGTTGGCCGCGAGGGGGGCCCCCCCCCGTGTGTTGGCCGCGAGGGGGGGCCCCCCCGTGTGTTGGCCGCGAGGGGGCCCCCCCGTGTGTTGGCCGCGAGAGTGGGGCCCCCCGTTTTGGCCGCGAGGGGGGGCCCCCCGTGTTGGCCGCGAGGGGCCCGTGTCGGAGCGCGAATGAATACAAGTTATCTATTGTTGCGGGTAAGTGTTAACGAGCGTAAATTTTTTTCTATACACATTATATTTTCTTTTCAAAACCTTCGTTCAATGAAATGTATAAAAAAATAGGTATATTTTTTTACAGATTCAATGAGTATAAAAATCAATTTGATGCGAATGAACAACGTTAATAATTTAAAAATTTGGTAATTTACATTTTTTTCAACGTAAAATACTATTTTTTCCGGTTCTTTATGATCATTTTTCTCGTGTGGAGTGGGCGGGGGCGTGGCATGTAAAGCCCGCCCAGGCCTCAATGGCGGCCGACCCTCACAAAGATATATATACCGCGTGTGTTGTTTCATGCGCGGGGAAAAACTGAGGTAGAGAATAACTACAAAACCCGTGGACGGCCTGTAGCAACTGTAGGGGGACAGGGGGCGGCAGCCGGAGGCGGCTTGTGAGGGGACGGCAGCGTGAGGAGAGCTTGTGAGTCCCTCACAACAATGAACAACGGCAGCGTGAGGAGGGGTTATGAGGGGACGGCAGCGTGAGGAGGGGTTATGAGGGGACGGCAGCGTGAGGAGGGGTTATGAGGGGACGGCAGCGTCAGGCGGGGCTATGAAGGGATGGCAGCGTGAGGACGACAAACCGGCCCATCCTCCTAAAATTGCTGCTATAGAAACTGGCGTGTTATTAATTAAGAACTTAACCACATAAGACGATTGGGGTGTTTTTACAATGTTGCGGTAATCTCCTGCTTAGGCAACAGATCCTGCCTGTTCCGTATACCTTCTCCACCCTGTAGTTCCCGAGACACCTGGATACCTGCTGTCTAGGCAGGCTCAGACGCCACTCGCCAGTCGACTAGACGCTAACTACTTGTTTAACTGCCGGCCGATGGTTACCTACAAGATTCACGCCATCTATGACGGCCTGACCCATATATAAGTGGCTCATCGGCGTCCAGTGACCTACGGGGGAGACATCTCCCGTCACGCAGGGTGCAGTCGCACCTCCACACATCTCCAGTATCAGCTAATGATACTGGTAATGGCTCAAAAGGGCCACCACTTACGGGCTATTCATGCCCGTGCCACCTTTTGGGTGGCTTAATCTTCATCAATCAGTCAATCGTCCAGTCACCAGAATACACTTTGTGCTCTCAGCAGTAACATCTACTCTCACCTCCCCAGGAGAGAGTAGATGCGTACAGCTTTTGCATAAAGTCATTTGCTCCTTTATTTTGCTTAACATAAAAACTCACCTGTACTATTTATTTCTTTTCATAATTTTGTGTAAAGCCAAGGTTTAAGGGCTTTGTTTTTATTAAGTATTTCTTATTATTTTATATTATTAAAGTCATTTTTGTTATATTAAATGTTTACAGTTTTTCATTCTTTGGTTTTTACCCGCAGCTCTCACACAGTAGAGGTCAGCTGCAGTCTTATTTACTTTACTTTACTTTTTATTAATGTGCGACTGGCACAACACCAGCCAGACTAGCCACTGCTCTATTACACATTATCGTCACAACAAGCTCAAGTTATAACAACATCACGTACATAAACGATCCATTGCATAGTCAGTCTTGGCTACAGGTTCAGTGTTCATCAAGTGTTGCAGTATTTCAGATAATATTACAGACTTCAGTATATTTCATCCCAAGGAAGGGGGGGGGGCGAAAATCAGCCAGTATGGGACAGTCTACAATATAATGTTAAAGGGAATACTTGTGTCGAATACATATGTGTGTTCGTCTGTTGAGTTTTGAGAAAGCTCCAAGATTTGTCTGTATCTCAGGCGTATTCTGGCCACTATAACGAGGCGGCAGTGGTAGGGAGGCAGGCTGGTGGACGGCAGTGGTGGTAGGGAGGCAGGCTGGTGGACGGCAGCGGTGGTAGGGAGGCAGGCTGGTGGACGGCAGTGGTGGTAGGGAGGCAGGCTGGTGGACGGCAGTGGTGGTAGGGAGGCAGGCTGGTGGACGGCAGCGGTGGTAGGGAGGCAGGCTGGTGGACGGCAGCGGTGGTAGGGAGGCAGGCTGGTGGACGGCAGTGGTGGTAGGGAGGCAGGCTGGTGGACGGCAGCGGTGGTAGGGAGGCAGGCTGGTGGACGGCAGCGGTGGTAGGGAGGCAGGCTGGTGGACGGCAGTGGTGGTAGGGAGGCAGGCTGGTGGACGGCAGCGGTGGTAGGGAGGCAGGCTGGTGGACGGCAGTGGTGGTAGGGAGGCAGGCTGGTGGACGGCAGTGGTGGTAGGGAGGCAGGCTGGGGGACGGCAGTGGTGGTAGGGAGGCAGGCTGGGGGACGGCAGCGGTGGTAGGGAGGCAGGCTGGTGGACGGCAGTGGTGGTAGGGAGGCAGGCTGGTGGACGGCAGCGGTGGTAGGGAGGCAGGCTGGTGGACGGCAGCGGTGGTAGGGAGGCAGGCTGGGGGACGGCAGTGGTGGTAGGGAGGCAGGCTGGTGGACGGCAGCGGTGGTAGGGAGGCAGGCTGGTGGACGGCAGTGGTGGTAGGGAGGCAGGCTGGTGGACGGCAGTGGTGGTAGGGAGGCAGGCTGGTGGACGGCAGTGTTGCAGATAGCGGCTACAGCGAAAGGGCTTACGAGTGGTTGGGATATCGCAATGATGGAGATGGTTGTGGATTAGGGGTGGTTGTGGATTAGGTGGTGATTATGGAGGTTGCGGAGGAAATTGTGGAGGTGATGGTTGTGGAAGATTAGAAGGTTGTGGAGGATTAGGAGGTGGTTGTGGTGGATTCGGTGGTGATTGTGGAGGTGGTGGTTGTGGTTGAGAAGGTGGTTGTGGTTGAGGAGGTGGAGGTGATAGTGGTGATTGTGATTGTAGTGGTGGTTGTGGAGGAGGACAGTGTACTTACCTAATAGTGATTACGGGAAAGTGAGGTCTAGCACTTTATGCCCCGCCTACTGGCCTTGATGTACATGTTTGAGAGGTCGCAGCCCTCTTCAGCAGCCAGATGTGCTGGCTGCTGAAGGAGGCCATATTGAATACTTCATACCCAGGACTCTACGACAAATTAGAGGTATTGTCAGGCAACATCACCGTGACAAGGTAACTGGAAAGGAGGATTTAAGCACAAACCAGTGAATCTGTATGATGGTACAACATGGTTGTAGCTGGCAACCCCAATCATTATGGCCGAAGAGGAGGACGATGAGGGAGAGAATCAGTAATAGCGAGAATCCGTCTTGGATACAAATATCCATGGAGATACGGAATGGAAACAACAGTTGGTCAGCGAAGTTGCAGAATCTGTGGTGAGAGTGATGGACACCGCCTTGTCCACTATCTACGTGAATGTGAACACCTGAGAGACATTAGAAATATGTGTAGAATAATAAACCCCACATTGTTTGAGTTAGGAAAACACTATTTGTCAAATATTGATACTGTTCTTAAAAGATTTCCCCATTTTGCACCCGCAAGATAACGTAAGCTTTTAAGGGTTGATAGATGTTAATCTTCTTGTTTGAGGAGCTGTTCACTTGAGACAGTTAAGCAAGGCCCAGCTGTGTCTGGGT